ATCACTTTCATAAATGAGGCAAAAATGTACAAGTTAATTTTGATAGTGTCATATATCAATGCAGTATGGGAGTATACCTCCTTTTTGAAACACTACTTTAATTACCTCCTTTGTACAATTTCTTTTCCAATGCATTCACAGTTTCAAATTATAACCATATACAAAGAATAGGATTAAAATGGTACAAGGTTACTTTGCAATGTAGAGCAAGATTTGTGGGTAGAAGGCAAGTAAGGCAGGCACGGACGGGTGCAAAAATATGAGAAAGTTATCTAAGCGTTCAGTGTTGTATGAGAAAGATGATATTGTTGCGTAAATGACTAGGCAGTTCGTAGCAGAATGTGTTATTCATTTCATTCATTCATTTCAAATTCATTTACTTACTTTATATTTATGCGAACACAAGTTGTATTTTAATAAATGTTAATATTATGTTATTTTAATTACATATTTTGTTAGAGGTCATAAAATTATACCCGGGAAATCTTGACAGATAGCTTTATTAATAATCTATATCATGATTTTACATTCATTAAGCTTTAACTGACATATAGACCGGGCATACATGTATAGTCATGCATTTACAGTCAATATTACGTAATATATGAACGATGTTCTACAAAAATATAATATGAATCTACAGATACATACATATTTTTTATGCATCATAAAAGTCTTTGTGGGACGACTGTATCGTTGCTTTCTTACATTCATAAATATTAAGTAGGTTGAAATGATGGTCACGTGGTTGTCTGCTGTCAAAGACCCAGGCACTGGTCAACGTGGGGCAGTTGTATTCTATCAGTCTATGCTAGCACATAGCTGGTCTCAGATATTTTAACTTGTGATCAGTAATATTATTTTCATTATAAGTAACTATTATCATTTTATTATTATCAGTATATTATTATATGGACTGTATTATACTTATTATTGGAATTGTGGACTATAATATACATTTATTGTTGGAGAGGAACTCAAGGAGGAGTTAGAGAGTTATCAAAGTACGTCGACCGGTACTGGCGTATAGTCCTACAGTCCTGGAATTGGATAAATAATCGTCCAGCTTTTACTCGGTGAGTAGGCTACAGAATGTACATTAATTTTACAGTATAACTTGGACAGAACAAGCATGACATCGCCCGAAACAAAAGTACTTATATTCGGTCATTCTTACATTCATTGGCTTGAACAATACCAACGAAAACACCGACCAAATTTAAAGCTAAATAGAGGTGAATTTAAATTATTTTTCCAAGGAATTAGAGGCGGGCAGTTTGCGTGGACACCTCAATCTAAAAGCAAATTCTAAAAGAAAGAATTGCACTCATATTTATCTGCATCTGTCAAATCTTTCAAACCTGATATCGTCTATTTGCAAATTGGAACGAATGATTTGGACAAAGGTCAAGAACTAGGTCAAATCTTACATTTTCAACATTCTTCATCATATCTTCGTCAATATTCTTCGTAACTCCTTCATCTTTTTTTCATCGTGTAGCTTAGAAAAAGGCAAATCAAAGATATGACATCAGAATTTTGATTACTCTTACCGATTTTGAGACACGGCGTCCGGAAACGAGGTCAGAACAAAAAGTTCTCCAAATTCAACATGTAAGTTATGAAATAAGTGAAGAATGTTCTCAGGAATCCGAATCTGCAAACCAAATTTGGATCGGACTTCCGGTTCGGAAGTTATGGCGTTTTGAAAGCTCAAAAATCGCTAAATTTGGTGCCTATGTTAAGTCAATGGGAAAAAAGACTTTTTCGAAGTGAAAAATACAAGATATAGACTGATACAGCTTAACATAATGAATGCTTATAAAAGAAGGGGACCTCAAAAGCTACATAGCTTCAAAATTTGGACACCAAAATGCCTAGGTCAAAATCTAGGTCAAATTCATAGTTTTTCCTTATTTTTACGATTCTGACACTACACTTTAATAATTTACTTCAAAATGTTGTATACAGGTAGCAAAGAGTATGCTAATAGTGTTAGCCTTTTGCCGTCAGAAAGTATTTTGACCCACTTTTGAGATATGGTGTCCGAAAAGTAGGTCAAAATAAAAAGTTCTCCAAATTTAACATATGAGCTATGAATTAAGGGTAGAATTATCCCAGGAATCCGAATCTGCAAACCAAATTTCAATCCGACTTGGTTCGGAAGTTATGGCGTTTTGAAAGCTCAAGAATCGCTAAATTTGGTGCCCCATGTTATGTCAATGAGAAAAAAGATTTTTTGAAGTGTAAAATACCAGATATAAACTGAGTACAGCTCAACATTCTGAAAGCCTATAAAAGAAGAGGACCTCGAAGGCTATCTAGCTTTAAAATTTGGACACCAAAATGCCTAGGTCAAAATCTAGGTCACATTCATAGTTTTCCTTATTTTTGCGATTCTGACATTACACTTTAATGATTTGCTTCGAAATTTTGTATACAGGTAGCAAAGAGTGTGCTTATAGTGTTAGCCTTCTGCCGTCAGAAAGTATTTTGACCCACTTTTGAGATATGGTGTCTGAAAAGTAGGTCAAAATAAAAAGTTCTCCAAATTTAACGTATGAGTTATGAATTAAGGGTAGAATTTTCTCAGGAATCAGAATCTTTAAACCAAATTTAGATCTAACTTCTGATTAGATAGTTATAGCGGTTTGAAGTCTCGAAAAGTCGATATGATGATATCCCCATGTTAAGCCAATGGAGTCGAAGATAACATTCTTAAGAGTTGTCTAAATGTCTATATTCTAGCTGACTCAGCTTATTCTGAATGACTCAGCTTACAAGTATTTGGATGACTCTGCTTAAAAAAAGTCTGAAATCTGGAGTCTTAAATTGAACTTGTTCAATTTACATGTCTATTTACAATTGTTCTTTTCAGGTACATATGCAAAAAAAAAATGGGACACCCGTATTTCAAAAATAAACATTGATTGTATTGATGGAAACATGTTATATTATATACCAGTGGATAGGGAATTTAATTATCTTTAATTTGGTATATCATAAGTTTAAATTTCATGTAATACGTGTCAACCAGCGTCCATAATACAAATGACGTCATTTTCATTTCAAAACAGGTTTTTAAAAACTTGCAAAAAACAAGTTTTTTTGTCAACAGAAACAGATGTTCAATATGTCCTCCATTTTGATTAATTATAGCCCTCAATCTTGTTCAAAACTGGTCAATTGCATCATTGATATGCTGTTGGGACAATGAATTCCGCTTCTCAACAATTCTGTCCTTCGGGGACTGAATAGATGTAAGGAGTTCATGAAATACCAATTGTTTATATAGATATCACTAAATACCATCTAGGTATTTAAGTCTTATACTGTACCGTGTTTTAAATAACTCATGAATAGTGTTTGTTATTTATGATGTATTTGTTTACTCCTTGGAATATATTTGTAGTTTATTAACATGTATTTATCCAAGTCATGTAAATACACAGGCTTATCCATTTGGGTATTATTTTTTTATTTTTATTTTTTTTTGGGGGGGTATTAATGGGTATTAATTAATATTAATAGGATATCTTTATGAATGGGGGGGGGGGGGGGCGCTGTGGTAAATTATCTGTCCTGGTTATAACATTGTAGCATATTGATGCGAAATGACCTAGCATCACTTTCATAAATGAGGCAAAAATGTACAAGTTAATTTTGATAGTGTCATATATCAATGCAGTATGGGAGTATACCTCCTTTTTGAAACACTACTTTAATTACCTCCTTTGTACAATTTCTTTTCCAATGCATTCACAGTTTCAAATTATAACCATATACAAAGAATAGGATTAAAATGGTACAAGGTTACTTTGCAATGTAGAGCAAGATTTGTGGGTAGAAGGCAAGTAAGGCAGGCACGGACGGGTGCAAAAATATGAGAAAGTTATCTAAGCGTTCAGTGTTGTATGAGAAAGATGATATTGTTGCGTAAATGACTAGGCAGTTCGTAGCAGAATGTGTTATTCATTTCATTCATTCATTTCAAATTCATTTACTTACTTTATATTTATGCGAACACAAGTTGTATTTTAATAAATGTTAATATTATGTTATTTTAATTACATATTTTGTTAGAGGTCATAAAATTATACCCGGGAAATCTTGACAGATAGCTTTATTAATAATCTATATCATGATTTTACATTCATTAAGCTTTAACTGACATATAGACCGGGCATACATGTATAGTCATGCATTTACAGTCAATATTACGTAATATATGAACGATGTTCTACAAAAATATAATATGAATCTACAGATACATACATATTTTTTATGCATCATAAAAGTCTTTGTGGGACGACTGTATCGTTGCTTTCTTACATTCATAAATATTAAGTAGGTTGAAATGATGGTCACGTGGTTGTCTGCTGTCAAAGACCCAGGCACTGGTCAACGTGGGGCAGTTGTATTCTATCAGTCTATGCTAGCACATAGCTGGTCTCAGATATTTTAACTTGTGATCAGTAATATTATTTTCATTATAAGTAACTATTATCAGTATATTATTATATGGACTGTATTATACTTATTATTGGAATTGTGGACTATAATATACATTTATTGTTGGAGAGGAACTCAAGGAGGAGTTAGAGAGTTATCAAAGTACGACGACCGGTACTGGCGTATAGTCCTACAGTCCTGGAATTGGATAAATAATCGTCCAGCTTTTACTCGGTGAGTAGGCTACAGAATGTACATTAATTTTACAATATAACTTGGACAGAACAAGCATGACATCGCCCGAAACAAAAGTACTTATATTCGGTCATTCTTACATTCATTGGCTTGAACAATACCAACGAAAACACCGACCAAATTTAAAGCTAAATAGAGGTGAATTTAAATTATTTTTCCAAGGAATTAGAGGCGGGCAGTTTGCGTGGACACCTCAATCTAAAAGCAAATTCTAAAAGAAAGAATTGCACTCATATTTATCTGCATCTGTCAAATCTTTCAAACCTGATATCGTCTATTTGCAAATTGGAACGAATTTGGACAGAAGAGAATGTGATGTTACGCTATTAGCCAAAAAGAAGGAAACGTTAGCATCCTTTTTGTTAACGGGATACGATAGTATCACATCAGTGTGTATAGGGCACGCGTTTAAGCGCCTAAAACCAAAAGTTGGATATGGGGAATATGAAAGAAGACGATTACTCTTCAATAATAACCTATCTGAAATTGGAGCAAGTAATAGACGCATTAATGTATTCCCCAATCGAGGTTTCTACAACAATGTAGATAGCCTCTATGACTTAAAAGGAGTACACCTCTCTGATACGGGAAACCTAAAATTCGCCAAAAATCTGAAGCGTTCGCTGATTTTTGCGAGGGATAAGTCGAAAGTGAGTAATTAACATGCTTGTTTTGTCCAATTTATCCAATATGACAATTAATTTATTTAGACGTCAGTCGAAATATAATATTTGTTTGTATTAGTAAATTGCTTATCTATGTTTTCTCCTCATTAAATTGATTCATTAGTCTTGTTGTCAGTACCAACAAGGGCCGTTGGGCAATAATGATTTTAAAACATTATCAACTCTCGGCCGTATTAATGTTTACCCTTATAGTGCACATGGTAGTAGTCCTGACTATCGCACTGGTAAAACATATTTAATTTCAATTAATCTTGTTGTCTGGACCAACAGGTGTTTACCTATAATGTGCAAATGATAGTAGTCCCGCCTATCGCACCGGTAATACATAATTTAATTAATTTTGTTGTCGGGACCAACAAACCTTTACCAATAATGTGCAAATGATAGTAGTCCCACCTATCGCACCGGTAAGGTATAATTCTATTAATTTTAAGCTTGTTGTGGGGACCAACAAAATGTGTACCATAAGCTGCAATGGTAGTAGTACTGACTATCGCTTTGGTAATACTTGCTTTAATTCTATTGAATCAATTGCGGTGGAGAATTCAGTTCAATTGTACTTAATAGTTTTAATCTTTATCAATTCTTAATATTATTAATTTCTTGCTTTATAGCAATTTAAAATGTAATTTTGTAATATATTACACTTTTCTTTTGCTATTGTCTTGGTTGCGCCCAGTGAATTGCGATCTGTTATTATAATCGGATAGCTACTTTGCCTGAAACTTTTATTTTCAGGGAACTGCGTGAATATGCCCACAACAAGAGGCCCAGGCAAGAGAAAGACGAAATCGCCGACACAAGCTACGGCGTCAACTTCGTCAACTCAATCTACCCAGTCAAGCCAACCGCCTAAAAAACGATCCAAACAACAAACAAACAATAAAAACAAGGACGATGGGTCTTTGATAGAAGCAGTTACGGAAGCTGTAATGAGCAAGTTATCTCCAAAACTTGACGAACTATTCCAAAAATCTGCTTCCAGTGCAAAAAATGACGAGTCGAGCAGTGACGACAGCAGTGATGAAGATGAAATTTTCGAGTCGGGCAGCGGACGCTCTGAGATTGCATCAGCAATCTCACAATTAGTTACCCAAGGTGAGTCTTCTTCGGCAGCCAAAGATTTGTTAAATTCATCAAAATACATTCCGTTGACCACCGGTATCCCTCTTGAAAGTGGGGTTGACAAAAAACTGATAAAGAAAATCATCGGGATTGACTATTCCGATTTGGCACACCTTTTAGAAAAAGTTCCGGGTGAAACCGAAATAACTGTAACAATAAAAAAGAAATCGTCATCGGTAACAGCAAACCCATCAAAGCCAAAATTGGAAATAAGAAGTTTTGAAAACTGGTCAACAGCATTCCACGTGTTCATTGCGATTTATTGCAAGGCTCACCCTGAGCTAATCAGTCAATTGATGAAATATATTGAGGATGTCCGAGACATAAACTCGGAACATGGTTTTTGGGTGGCAAAGTCCTATGATGAGAATTTTAGGCTTCACAAAAAATCGGCGGGTTTGAATTGGGGCATCCGAAATAGAGATTTGATAGATAGCGCTAAATCTAAAATACGCATTACCAAAAACAACAAAAACAATTTTCGTGAACAAGGAAATTTCACAAAACAAAGTATCAAACCTGTTCAAGACGGGCATTGCTTCACATTTGCAAACAGAGGCAAGTGTACAAGGAAAGGATGCAGCTACATCCACCGGTGCAAAAAATGCAATTCTGACCACAAACCCGGATCAACCTGTCAGTAAAACTGTTTTGAAAACCGAACTGCTGAATACATGCGTAGAAACATACGACTCCAGAGTGGTAACTCCTATTGACGTTAATGCATTAAAAGTTCTTTTGCAAGGGTATGATCCATCAAAAGCAGCGTATCTAATTAATGGTTTTAGTTTTGGTTTTAATATTAATTACAAAGGCAAGGTATCATCAGTCAAACAAACTGAACGCAATCATTTTTCGGCAGCGCAGGCTGAAGAAGAAATAGATGCTTACATACAAAAAGAAATAAATCACGGTCGTATGATAGGACCTTTCGTCGATCCTCCAAAAAAGTTTGCAAATGTCTTTAAGATCAGTCCTCTTGGGCGAATACCAAAGAAAGAACCAAATAAATTCAGAATAATCCATGACCTCAGTTATCCTAAAGGCGATTCAGTTAATGAAGGCATATCAAAAGAAGACTCTTCAGTAACATATCAATCTGTAGATACTATTATTGATTTAATTCAAGATAATGGTAGAGGGGCACTTATTTCTAAAACAGATATAGAAAATAGTTTTAAAATTATACCAATTCATGAGAACGATCAACATCTACTGGGAATATTATGGAAAGGGCATTATTATTTTGATAAGACACTTCCAATGGGATGTTCATCGTCTTGCAAGATTTTTGAATCGTTTAGCTGTGGAATTGAATACATAGCAAGGTCACCGGCTTTCCAAATAAACCATATCGGACATTATCTAGATGACTTCGTAATCGTAGGGCCCCCAGATTCACCTAATTGTAAGCGCGACCTGGATAAATTCTTGCTTTTGTCAAAAAATTGAATTTGCCCATAAAAGAAAGCAAAACTTGCGGCCCCTCAACAATTATGACAGTATTTGGTATCGAATTAGACACACAACTATGGGAAGCTCGATTACCAGCTGATAAAATGATACCTCTTCAGGCGTTTATTGAGAAATATAGAAAATGTAAATATATAGTACAGGGTGATTTAGAATCCTTGTTAGGAAAGTTGGCTTTTGCAACTAGGGTTGTGCGACCTGGCCGAGTCGCTCTACGTAGGCTTTATGATTTATTAGGGCAAACTTTGTATGACAACAAATACAAACGTAAAAAATCAAAGAAAGTTCGAATTTCGAAAGAGGCCAGACAAGATTTAGAAATGTGGCACGAATTCTTGCAAGGGTATAATAGCAAATCGTTCTTCCTTCATAGAGAATTTGTGGATTCCAATACAATACAATTCTTCTCTGATGCGAGTGGTAATATAGGTTGTGCGGGACTTTATAAGACAAAATGGTTCTTTATACCGTGGTCAAAGGAAACCATAAAATATGACATATCAACAAAAGAATTAATCCCAATTGTGAAAGGTTTTTCTGTTTGGTCAAAATTGTTCGCAAATCACAAAATTCTAATTAGGTGTGATAACCAAGTAATCTGTCAAGCAATTAATACCATGACATCGAAGAATAAAACCACAATGGGTTTACTCCGTCAGTTGATATTGATTTGTCTAAAACATAACATTCTGATTAAAACGATGTACATTACGTCATCTTCCAATGTTATCAGCGACGCAATTTCTCGTTTGCAGATGGACCGCGTAAGAAAACTCGCACCTTGGCTGAACCAAGAACCAGAGAAAGTAACTATAGATCTCAACTTAGAGATAGGATAGATGTGCTGATGAATAAATCGTTGGCCCCTTCCACAAAAACAACTTATATTCGTGCATGGAAAAAGTACATTGATTTTCATAAACGGGTGACAGCTAAGACACGGTCAAAAGTTTTTCCTGTGACTTCAACAAGGCTCAGCTCATTCATAGCTCATTTGTCTTTGGAAAATTATGCAAGCGCTACTATCACAACAATGGTTTCGGCTATTTCGTACTATCACAAAATGTGCAACAAAACTGATCCGGCTGATTCCTTTTTAATAAGGAAAATTCTGAAGGGGTTGTTGAAAGCGTCGCCGTCACTTGACTCAAGACTTCCAATCAGCGAAAAAATATTAGCAAAATTGATAGGGGTTTTACCCTTATTGTTTACGTCTAAATATGAAATAACATTAATGACGGCCATGTTTTCGCTAGCATATCATGCTTTCCTTAGGCTTTCGGAATTTACCACAGGCGGATTGGCGTCACACGCTTTAGAATTTAACATGGTAAAAATCATGAAAAAATCTATAATTGTCGCCTTTAAAGATTACAAACACAACGTTTCGACCACGCCTTTTAGATTGCACATTAAACGTTCTCTATTGTCAAAAATATGCGCTGTGAGACTAATGAAAGAGTATGTCGAATTTCGCAAAAGAGTCCTTACTGACAATAATCAACTATTCATACTAAATGACGGCTCACCCGTGACTAGGCAATATTTTTGCAAACATTTAGAAGTGGCGGTGTGCGCCAATAATCTTGAAAAGTCTAAATATACATCTCATAGTTTCCGTATTGGTAGCAGTACAGATCTTATCACCAAATATAAATTCTCCGAAGAACAAGTAGCGAAAATGGGGCGCTGGAAAATCAAAGCTGTAAAGCGATACATTCGGGTAAATGCAATGTAATCTTTGTGAATTAATGAGGTATAATATAAACATTACAAAGCTGCAAAGAGTTAAAACACTCTATGACTAATGAGGATAAAACTTTTAGTTTTCCTCCAACTCTCTTATTTCATAGATTACTATCAATTGTTAATGTTTTTGCCAAGGATTAGAATTTTTAATTCATCCTCTCAGCAAATACATTTAATTAACTTTCTAACCATTTCTTAACAGAATCGGTAATTGAGTACACGATCAATTTCAAAATATTGACTTTCCAGAATAATTTTGTCAGGGACTCGTGCGAGGGAGTTAAGTGTTTCACTTCTCACTGGCGCGGGTACCTGGGAAAACCTTTTCCTATAATCGACCGCTGTCTATCGGCCACAGTGATTATCCATTGTTCTATTCATTGAACTATTTAAAAGGCTACCGAGGAGGTAGACTGTAAATCTAGTAAATCTCGTAAATCTAGTAAATCTAGTAAAATCTTGTAAAATCTTGTAAACTTTTTAGGGACCATTCATTTGATATCAATGTCAGTCTCTATGTAAGAGTATTGGTGATTATGATTCCTTTTACGACATTAGAAAAATACCTTCTCTGCATTAAAATTCAGAGTCATTCCTTTCATCAAATAATCAATATACAATTTTTTTTAACAAAATTGTGAAATATTATGATAAAAAAGAATGTTTAAGGGGCTGATATGATATGGCTTTAAACTATTAATTACAAGGAATACAAGGAACATATCATCAGCAAAACGTAAATGGAAAGCATTGTAGAAATGCCATACTATACTTTATGTATAGGTAAAGCAAATAGATCAATCAGTAAGTTGTCTCCCTAGATTCCCCTTACCACAGCATTTGATTGTTTTTTTATTATTTTTTTGGGGTTGGCAAAAATCAATTTTGAAATTGCCATTTATCCATTCCTCTCACATTGGAACTTCTACAAATATTGTCAATTGAACAGCATCGCCAAAAAATAAGCAATAACTAAATTATCTGATAGGCTAAGCATTATAACATTTTGTGAGGGAAAAACAAGCCTGTGTCATTTAGATGGTACGCATTGTCCCCTCAGTCCTTAAATATGTAACTTAATTTGTTAATAGAGCATGCTTCTTGGGTGGGTTGTGTATGATGATAAAATGGGTGTACCATTTGATAACCATTTTGTTATCCAGTATTATTATATACCTCAAATGTATTCTAGATGCTCATTGGCTTATTCATGGTCACATGACATGGAATAGATGAACTAATTCCCTGGAAAGTCCTAAATCCCTGCTTTCAGGGAAGATGAATTGTACTAATCACCAGTTAGGTCATGTGACCAGTCAATAGTACGTTTTATCTTCCCCCAAATCTGAGATTATAGGAGTTGAAAGGTAAAATGCCTTTAAATGCCAATAAGAACCTGTGAACATTTGATATTGAAATGAAAAGACTTCTCATTTTGTTTTTGTTTACAGAGAGTACTTATCAGGTATATAATAAAACAAATAGTGACTGCCACATTTTCGGGAAATAGTGTAAAAATTTTCCTCTCGGGAATATCCTGTCCACTGACTTGTTCCCTCGGCCTGCAGCCTCGGGAACATGTCAGTGGACAGGATATTCCCTTGAGGAAAATATTTTGCACTATTTCCCTCAATGGCAGTCACTATTTGTATACTAACATGTGGTTGTTTTGTAACTAAATATAATGAAATAAAAGGTAGAATTTTTTCTACATGTTCATTTCATTCATACAAAGGCATTTTCAGTGCTTTTTCGATTTACTAGTTTTACTAGATTTACTAGATTTACAGTCTACCTACCGAGGAGACTCATTGCATATGGTAACAATAGACTAGATTAACAGGATTAAATTGAAGTAGTTTATAGGAACATTCGTTCGTAGTTAGTGACATATTATATATTCTGATCTATATTAATCGTTATATGATTATGTGAACGGTCGTTAAGCCTTTGAAGTTTGAACATTTAAGATGCGATGTTGTCATGTTTATCTTTTAGATACGTGCCAACGTGCCATCTTTTTTCATTCTCATATTTTTATTATATGTGTAACGTACATCGGCCCACAAACCACTTTCCTTTCCCTTGATCTGGTTGGGTGACAAGCTCGCTTTCATTGATCAATGCGATCTTTGTGGCCAGATATGGACTACCCAACTTGCTAATTGATATTATTATCACGGTAGGGATTGTCATCACGTGACCTTCGCAACTGATGGTGTCTGAACAAGCCGTCAGATTTTCTCGATTAAGCAAGAAAAACGAATAATTTTCATATTTATACTTTGTTAAATGCTTCAAATCCCGCCCCACTTGTGCATACTATCTCAGTCTTTCAAATGAACCTAAATTTACAAGCAGAGGACGCATATTTTTTGAGATATCACTGATTTTTATTTCGAAAAATGATGGTGTCTGAACAACTCTTAAATTCTGCATGATGGTGTCTGTACAAATTTTAAAATACACTACTTTGAAAGTAGTCCTCGTGTTTTCGTGTATTTTTTAAATACATCTGCTTCTTTCCAATGTGTTAAACGCGAAATCAACCTAGAATTGTGATGTTTGCCTGTTATCACTGCCATCCATTGGTTGAATTTCCAACATTCACTGAACGATTTGCAAATCATGTGTGGGACAATCATCCATCAGAGGAATTTAGATACATCGTGTATTGTCACCAGGAACTGGGCGATTAAGTCATTTGATGAGACGTTATTTATCCAATATTCCAAAAGATTACTTGATGTACTTGAATAAAACAATATAAAATGAATCCATCAATCGATTTAGACTGCCCAGGGATGGTATTATTCAGCATCTTCGCACGCTTGGTCTTCACTGCGTTCCGACGGGAGCCGAGTGAACGAAGATGATTATTCAGTAAAGCCAGTCACCTTTTGAGAGGCCAGAGAAATCTGACCAATCAAAATACAGGATTTCTTCGTGATGTCATTGTCCTGATTAAAGTCAATTGCTCTGCAAAATTATGTAACATTAATAGGGCCTGGCTTCTGCATTGTATAATAACTTATTAAATATAGGCTTTGTATAAAAAAAAACTTGTACCTTATGCCCACGTACCCACGTACGTGAGTCGTGATACAGTCTTTGAAGCCGTTCAATTTTAAAAGCTTTAAAGGATTATCCGATCAATTTTTTTTAAAAAAGCGCCATTCAAAGGCTCGTCCAATAGGGAAAATCTACGCTAAATTAGATTTTAATATGTCGGGGATTTGCTACATGGAATTCTGTGCTTCATTTTGTTTAATCACAGCAAGGGGAACGATGATTTTAGTCTCGGGGATTGTAAATTTATCCCAACACGCGAAAGTGTAATTGTTTGCTCAATTGTGGATGGTTATTCCGAATTGGATGTCGGGGAGAGTAGTACACCCATAAAGACAAGGTTGTAATGCAACCTAAATGTGGCAATATAGTCACACCTTAAAGACGACTTCCTGGAAGTCCCCAGCAAATGGAAAACGTGACAATTTTAGTGAATATTGCTTCTAGTGAACGAGCATTAATAGATAAAGGATCCGTTACACTAAGTATATAAAACTGTCCCCAGGTCATTCATGACCATTATGACATATAGTATGGTATTTAGTAAGGCGTTAATTATGGCATAGTGTTCAGGTGCATCCTAAGTGTTATTGAGGCCATAGTGACCTTGTAAAGGTCAAGTCAGTGCATATCTGATAATAAAAGATTCTTGCGTGCAAAATCATCGTTTACAAAATTTAAAATGTGAAATTATGATAAAGAATGTTGCAAAGGACAATTTTGACCTTAACCTTTGATTTTCATTTCATTTTTTTTGTTTTATTATTTTATTTGGTTCCATTGACTTAGCATATGGATATCAGCATGTATCGACTTGATGATATCCTGATGTTAAGTCAATTATTCTTTCAAATGAGCTGGGTATAATGCTCCTTCTTAACCTTGGGACAGCCTTATCTTGACATTCTAGGCAGGTTTCAAATTTCCCTTGAGTTATTATTCAATTGTATAGTTATATTCTTAATCCACTTTGTACATTTGTAGCACGAGTATAGTCAACATCCAAAATGGTACAAAATATTACGAAGAAAATGCTCGACATATACACATATTTCAAAGCAAATGTGTGACATACGGATTTCGCGTGAAAAGTCCGAACGGAATGCGTTCGCCTTTTTTCGACGTGCACTAATGCATTTACATATTTGCGAACGTTCTGATTCAAAGAGCGAACCGCGAAAGGGAGAATCCAGCATAGACGAAGATTGAATGATCTTATGTTTAAAAAATTGAACCCTTCAAAGACTGTATCATGCCCCAGGTACGTGGGTCGGGACGTGGGTACGAGGTACTAGGTTTTTATACAAAGCCTTGAATATACGAGAGTACAGGGATGCATAGTATATAATAAACAATTACACATGAAAACATGGAGACTGGTATCCATGTCGTGTATTCAAAAAATTTGTACAGACAACATCATACAGAATTTTAGAGTTGTTCAGACACCATCATTTTTCGAAACGAAAAACAGTCATATCTCAAATAATATGCGTCCTCTGCTTGTCAATTTAGGTTCATTTGAAAGACTGAGATAGTATACATAAGTGGGGAGAAATTTGACGCTGTTAACAAAATATAAATATGAAAAATATTCATTTATCTGGCTTAATCGAGAAAATCGTACAGCTTGTTCAGACACCATCAGTTACGAAGGTCACGTGATGACAATCCCCACCGTGATTATGTAATATTAAATAAATCAATTACATGTACACAGACACAAATTGTATTTGTTTTGTCCAATTAGCAACTGAGAAGATCAAGGGAAGAGACACAAATATTTTTTATGCATCATAAAAGTCTTTGTGGGACGACTGTATCGTTGCTTTCTTACATTCATAAATATTAAGTAGGTTGAAATGATGGTCACGTGGTTGTCTGCTGTCAAAGACCCAGGCACTGGTCAACGTGGGGCAGTTGTATTCTATCAGTCTATGCTAGCACATAGCTGGTCTCAGATATTTTAACTTGTGATCAGTAATATTATTTTCATTATAAGTAACTATTATCATTTTATTATTATCAGTATATTATTATATGGACTGTATTATACTTATTATTGGAATTGTGGACTATTATATACATTTATTGTTGCCACCCATTCCCCTCCACCTCCCTTCAGATATGGACTACCCAACTTGTTATTATGTAATATTAAATAAATCAATTACATGTACACCGACACAAA